ATATCATCAACGAACCTCTATGGAAGACGGATTTATCCGTAAAGGAGTCTGCATCAGAGAGCTAGTGTCAAGAAAAGCTGTGACGCATAGTACAATAGCTACCCTGAACACAATATACATATGGTTATCGAGAAAGATAGTCCGAAGTAAGAAGGTAGTGGGTTGACCTCGTTGTCGCAACTTGGTTTTGTGGTCAGGGAGACTATGTAGAACGCACCATAGTAGTTGTCATGATTGCCAGCATCTGACAGTGGACTTGGTACATTCTCAAACGTTTCACCGGCATCGTAGTCGGTATCATCAGTGAGCCTTGCCATTCTCCGCACCAAGATACAAACTCGTCAAAGAGACAAGAGATGAGTTCGTATCTTGGTGCGGACAATGGCAAAGCTCACTGATGATGCCGACTACGATGCCGGTGAAACGTTTGAGAATGTACCAAGTCCACTGCCAGATGCTGGCAATCATGACAACTACTATGGTAGACGACTTCGGACTAGGTGCATTCTACATAGCCTCCCTGACCACAAGACCAAGTTGCGACAACGAGATCAACCCACTTCTATGAATTGAAAGGAGACTGCTACCATAACAGAGGTCGCAACATGTTGGTCTTCATATATTCAATTAAGACTATTTTGTTTTAAGCTTTATCACGAACGAAAGTAAAAAAGAGTAATAACAGAAAGAGAACATCGTTTTAGTCAAAGTATAAAGGCAGAGACCACAATGAGGTTCCCTGTTTTGCGACATCAACAACAGCCAAGCTGATAGCAATCCGGATGCAGCAAGAAATGTGATCCTGTAGACGACAAGAAGCCGATGGTAAATTCCAGCATTCCCATCAGAGTAACAAAGTTTGGTACATTAATCACAGTTGTAGGTGGGCGCATGGATTTGTAAAGTAATGTAGTGCTCATTCTGCTTGTCTACTGCCAGTTAGGCCTTAGGGTATTGAAGTGAATAAAGAAAATACACAGACGCCAAAAAGGTAATGTAAAGAGATATACGACAGACCAATTCAGGTCCAGCTTCATGTCATAAAAGGCTAAGTGAATGCATGAAAATAACGCGACCGGTCTGTTTAGTATACCACGTTTCGTTCCCTGTAGGACGCATTAAAGACTTGTATAAACGGAGGATCCAGTTAATCTCGCGGACGGGCTTGTTTCTATGTCGGTAATTCAGAATAGTTCGTATACTCCAACAAGCAAGAACAAACACGGATAAAGCATACAGATAGAAATAAACAAGTGGATGAAATAAGCCTAGTCTTTACTCACAAAATGTATCCATCTATGGTCGATGTAAAAGGAAACCGAAGCTGTCCAGTCGTGACTGCCGACGAGGAGACAATATCGGAGCTAAGACAGGAGTTGGTTCGGGACCCGGAAGGCAAATTCCATTGGCGTGATTGTAGTCTCGAGGCGTCTGGCTGAAGTACCCGAAGCTGTCAAGACGTGATTGTCTATGCAGGAACCTGAGATTTTGCAGGTCAACAGGACTGGCTTCGTGCATTCTTGACGGCTCATCTGATGTCTCTTGCAAGGGGCGGCCGATCAGGCGGCAGTAAATTGAAGGCGAGGATTGCATCAAAATAGTTAGCGCATTGCTGCCTGATAAAAATAAGTAGAAATGACTCTACATCTAATGTGCGAAAGCAGCGATTAGAGCAATAGTTGTGTTTTTAAAAGGGAATTTGTATAATTGCTTTATGAACATCCAGCTTTGGTTGTCAACAAGCCTATACGATTCCGACTCGAGAAGCTAGATTATGGCCTATTTAGCTATTCTGGTAATCTCTCAAAGCAAATAGTAGAGGCGTTTAGGCAAAAAAATTAGAGTACATCTTTATACAAAAGGCCCATAAATTATATATAATTGTAATTAACTGCATTCTCATAAAGTAAAACCAGCTTACAATTCACTTTTCCGTCAATATCCTTGCGAAAATACTTTGCACCACATTCAGATGATGAAAAGATGTCATCACGATTTCGTTTCATGCCAGCGTAATTGCTGCGATCTGAAATATATAAAATGACAAAATCATTTCAAGGGCCTATTATGCAGCCAAGCAATGCAACCTTGTTCAAGCCAAAAATATAGCGAAAAGCCTGACAACATGGTGGACCAGGAGAGGAAAGCATTAGACCGTATCTGTGATTTCTAAGGCTGAGGATAGATATTCTGACTTATATCTAGCACTGATTCACTTAGTAACAGAAAAGTTGCCTCAAGTTTAGTCACAGGACTAAGGCAAACTGAAGCTGTAGTGCAAGCATATAAAGCTAGAATATGAGACCTGAGATATCCAAAAGGTTAGAAATAGTTTATCTAAGGTTACTAGCTAGCAGATCACAAACCCGAGTAACGTGTTGACACCTATCTGGCAGCATATTCACACATTTCTGCTGCGAAATGCTATAGACCTCAGTTTAGATGATAGATGAACGAGCCTTGATGGCAAGCAATAAACAAAAATCTGTATCAGCTGTTGTAGCGAGGTATACGCGATGTCTTGAACGTTAAGCCATAAAAATCCCTATAACATAATGGAAATATATCAATACATGGAATAATATTTGTATTTTATTCCGTCACTATCCACCTATAAACATAAATGTGAATAGAACTAGTAAGCTGAAGCACCTTACGAACACTGCATGTATATACACAAACACAAGAAATCATTAATTAATTATAGGTATGAAGACCAAGATGGTGTGGCCTTTTGTGTGGTCGCAGTCTCCTTTCGTTGAATAGAAGTTGTT